CATGATTTTTTGCTTAATTTTCTTCTGATCAACACCAACTTCTGGGCTTATTTGAAAATTTTCATTGTCAAAATTGTAGATTGTTGAACCAGCGTTGAATTTGTGCCGAATAAGCAATAAGCCAAGTCTAATGCAAGGTCAGCAAGCTTCTTCTACCCAAGCTGGAAATCAATCTGCTATAACCTCCAGGGACAGAAATTCACAGAGGAATGTCCCAGAGCGTGGTCCAAATCAGAATGAATCAAGGGGTCAAACTGGGGAACTGACACCTATGCCATCATCTGTTGGTAACACTTCATCATCACAGGTAACACTTCATCATCACAGGCATCTGCTTCATTAGTTACTTCTGGTTTAGTTGGAGATCGCAGGATTTCGTGCTTGGACAAGGATATCGTAAAGCTAGAGAAGCTTTCGTTCAAGGCATGGTATAATGGTTCTTCAGCTTCTCCAACCTCGAATGGTGACATCCCCTGCAGCTCTTGATTGTCTTCGTGCTCTTACATGCCGAGTGCTTTTAGGTTGATGCTATTGCACATATATTGACCGAACTTCAGGTTGGTGTAGCTTGGTGCTGCTATTTTTGTGGTTTATTAATCAATTGTAAAATTGACGGGGACCCATAGCTATAAGCTTTCTAATATTATTTTATTTGTTTATTTTTTTAGGTTGGGAAAAGTTATCAGAGCTCATCCGAGTGGGAGCCAAACTGCCAGTGGTGACCAAAATAGATGGCAGGCCGAATTAACTCAAGTGAGCTTATTTGAATGCGCTCTAATTTCTTCATGTTATTATTAGATTTCAAGAGGAAACTTGGCCTAGTATTACTCCTGACAAGCCTTACCCTCGATATATATATATATGTATGTATATTTGGCTGAATAACCTCTCTGCTATCTACCTCGATTATATATATTGTGATCCAATCTGGAAATACATGTTATAACATTGGATAATACAGGCATAATGTTCATACGTGACCTTAGTCTTGTCAGATTTGTACATGTTCTTTTTGAGATTATATTTTGTTCCATTACGGGCGTGCAAGTATTGAGATGCATCGAAAGGGCATAGCTGCTGCTACTCCAGTTTCTTATACCTTCTTGCCTAGATATATGGATCATGGTTTTTGTTTAATTTTCTATTGATCAACACCGCCTTATCCATACTTACTTCAGGGCTTATCCATGAGCACCTTCAAGCATCTGGATTAGCTGAGAGTGCATCTTTGCTAAGTTATCACCATTGGCTGCTCCATCATTTAGCACAACACACATCTGGGCAAGAGTTGTCATCAGTACAAATGCAATGGCCATCTGAACGAGCAACTTTTCAGGAACACCATCGGTGTCTACTGGGAAATCAAGTGGCGATCCAAACAATCCGAGAAGAACTCAAATAGTGTTGCCAATGAAACGCTAAAACAGGCATGAAAGAAAATGGGTTTGGATCATCGGTAAAACAGGTGAACATACACTCAGACTACCTGGTTTTTCAACACCGAATTCTGCTTGTAGAAGTTGTCTGCAGGTGGATTCGAACATACATTTAAGGCGAGGAAGACGATGATGATGTGACTATCTTCTGTGATCGATCCTTCTTAAAGCTGCAATCCTACAGCTGAAGATGCTCACACTTTTACGATAAACCTCGTGAGAATTGGTATGTAATTTTCTTTAATTGTCGAGATTAAATTGATGCTCAATAGTATTATAGCTTTTTCATTTTGTTGGGCTCAATTTATGTGTTTTCTCTCTATTGAGGTTGAATCAAGAACAACATCGTGAGGGGCAAGGCTAATAAACCAAACCCGATGAGAATTGGTATGTAACTTTCTTTTATTTTGTTGAGATTAAATTGATGCCCTGATATCAAATTGATGTGTTTTCACTCTGGTGAGGTTAAATCAAGAACAATCATGATAAGAATTGGTAAGTAACTTTCTTTTATTTTGTTGAAACTCAATAGTATTATAATTTTTTCATTTTGTTTGGATCAAACTGATGTGTTTTCTCTCTATTGAGGTTGAATCAAGAACATCATCGTGAGTAGAGGGAAGTATTAGAGGCCAAATCCGACAAGAATTGGTACGTAATTTTCTTTCTTTTTTGGGATCAATAGTGCCAGATTTTTCATTTTGTTTTCTCTCTATTGAGGTTGAATCAAGAACAACATTGTGAAGTTAAATGGGTAAGGCATACGGACCAATCATGATAAGAATTGGTACGTAACTTTCTTTTATTTTGTTGAGACTCGATAGTATTATAATTTTTTCATTTTTTTGGGATTAAACTGATGTCTTTTCTCTTTATTGAGGTTGAATCAAGAACAACATCATGAGTAGAGGGAAAGATTATAGGCCAAATCCGACAAGAATTGGTACGTATTTTTCTTTCTTTTTGTTGGAATCAATAGTGCTAGATTTTTCATTTTGTTTTCTCTTTATTGAGGTTGAATCAAGAACAAAATTGTGATGTTAAAAGGGCAACGCATACAGACCAATCATGATAAGAATTGGTACGTAACTTTCTTTCATTTTGTTGAGACTAAATAGTATTATATTTTTTTCAATTTGCTCGGATCAAATTGATGTGTTTTTTCTGTATTGAGGTTGAATCAAGAACAACATTGTGATGTTAAAAGGGGCAAGGCATACGGACCAATCATGATAAGAATCGGTACGTAACTTTGAGACTCAATAGTATTATAATTTTTTTATTTTGTTAGGATCAAACTGATGTGTTTTCTTTCTATTGAGGTTGAATAAGAACAACATCGTGAGTAGAGGAAAGGATTAGAGGTCAAATCCGACAATAATTGGTACGTAATTTTCTTTCTTTTTGTTGGGATCATTAGTACACTTGTCATCAAAACATACAATAAGCACACAACTAATCTTATTACCCAATTAATAAGCACCCAATTAAAATAAATACACGACAACCACAAATGTAAACAAGCACATATTCCAAACAGATATGCAACCTTGAAGGCACAAGCCTCCAACAAAAAGCAATAATATAATTTGAATAAAAAATACAAAATTTTACTTCTACCGTATCTACCCCAAATGATAATCAAACATGTAACTAAAACAAAATTACATACATCGGGTACAACTACTCCAATAGATAAGACATGAACAATTATAAAAGATATACAATGTTTTGAGTATACTTGCCGTCAAAACATACAATACGAGCTTTCAAGGCACTCCAATTAATATACATTAAAATAAATACGCGTCACCACAAATATAAAAAACTACACATTCCAAACAAATACATCCCCCCAACAAAAAGCAAACACATAGTTCAAATAAAAATTCAAATATTTACTTTTACCATGTCTACTTGCAAATAATATCACATAATTAAAACAAAAATACAAACTTCCGGATAGAGCTACCCTCATTGGATAAGACATGCACAATCATAAAAGATGTACAATATTTTGATTACACTTAGCCCTTACCAAATCTTTTTACATGCTTTCAGGGACTCCAAGTAATAAATATACAATTATAATAAATACGCAATAACCACAAAAAATTCACAATAATAAAAGATAGATAGATAAGACATGCACAATCATATAAAGGTGTACAATATTTTAAAAGTACAGTTGCCCTCAAAACATACAACAAAAAAATAAATACACAACAACTACCACAAATATAAAAAATTCAAACAAATATGCAATCTAAAAAAAAATCATAATTAAAACAATATCAGACACATAATTAAAACAAAAATAAAAGTATTGCGTGAGTCTACCCCAACATACAAGGCATGTATAATCACAAAAGATGTGCAATGATTTACACACACTTAAAATAAATATGCAACAATAACCACAAATACAAAAAATTACATATACAACCTTTAGGTCACATAGTCTAGCAAAAATACAAACTTTTATTGATATCAAACACGTAATTAAAGCAAAATCACAAATATTGGATACATATATCACACAATTAAAATAAATATGCAAAAATACAAATTCGAAACAAATGCACCCAACAAAAGCAACCACCATAGTCCAAAAAAATACTACTGAAAGCGGTAAATAAAGCAGTAAGGATGAGGTGAACGGAGACGAGCGAAGCGAAAGCGAGAGGCAGAGTTCCAGTGGTAACCAGATGATCGGGGCATGGATGAATCGCGGTTACCAGAGGATTGGGGCGTGAGTGAGCGGCATATTATATGTATATATATATGAGCGAATTAGAGTGAATGAGAGGTGTTGTGTCTGAACTGTGCGTTACTAAATGGGTAGATTTCCCTGGATGCAGCGAGCGAATGACGTAAGTGTGTTATCGGAAGCATATATGTATATTATGAAAATGATGATAGAAAGATGCTGTAATTATATAAACTGGATTATAAAGAACTCATCACACTGGTACTTTTGGCCTGGGGGATTTACAACAAGACTTCAATGATACCCAGAATTAAGACATTATACGAAAGAAACCCTACTGTCATTAGGAATTTCTGCGACCTAATAGACCCCGTCTATGTCCCGTTAATTTTCCCAATTTCTGCCTCATTAGTTGCTTTACCCCCTGATGTTACTACTATTTTATCAGAATCAAATTTAGCACAGTAGTTAAGTAGGTCGACAAGGCTCCCGCGTATTTAACTACATTGAACTACCTTAAAACCGCTTTTGGCGCATCACAAGGCTCAATTAATTAATTCTTCTCTCGCTCTATACCAGTGATATGAAATTCTCTAAAATTGATTTATATAAGTATGGAAAATTGTGAAAGAATTTAATTTGAAGAAATGAATGATATTTCTTTATATACTACGAAAGCGCGAAAAGAATTAGACTACAAAGCTGTAAATAAAAGCAGTAATCTAATCTAAGAAAGCATTAAAGATGTGGCCAAAGGAGAGGGAAGACCCCCACTCCCTCGGCCTTTCCCGTGGAGAACTCCCTTACAGGGTTGGAGCTCTCGGAAACAGGAAGACGACGAACGCTTTAGGTATGCTGAAATTCGTCAAAGAATTCAATCTCCTTCTTTTTTTTTTTTACATAAAGATATCTGGCCCTATTTATATCAGATGTGAAGAGACGGTTGCAAGTAGCTGTTAGGCAGTTTCAACCGCTGGGCAGTTAGGCTGTTGCTGGTGGTTATTCTGTTGAAACAGTTGTTGGCCATAACTCCCAGGGCGCCCGCTTCGCTTGCGTTGTAGGTTAAGGGCACATATCTTCCTCGCTTGCTGGAGAGCTGGAGGGCATCAGCGTAGCTCAGCTCGCTTGCGCTAGCTGGAATTGAAATGGCTGCACCGCTGCAGTTGAAGTACTTAGTTGAAATCTGGTGATAGTCTGCAGCGGCGGGTATCTGGACTGTTGCTTGCAAGCGGGAGAAGCTATCGCTTGTGGCTGTGAAGGTGGCCGCTTGCTTTTCATGCCTTAGTGTTTTCAAAGTGTGTCCTGGGCGCTTGCGAGCGAAGGCGGTTGTCGCTTGCGGCGTTTGCCTTAGCTTTTCTGGTTCCAGAATACCGCTTAAGAGGGCAAAAAATCGTTAATAATCTCAACAACGAATTCTGGATCATGCCTAGTGATATAAATCAATATTGTATGCCAATTACGAATTATTTTGATGGTTCTTATGCAGTAATTCGAGTAATACACATTTATGTCAAGCTAAGAATATGCTCATATTTGGAGTCATCACCTCGCTTTGGTGGCACTCTCCGGCATTTCAGCGTTTAGTCTCTTCCGTCTCTACGGAGGCAACAAATCGAAGACCAGTAGCAACTGGTAATAAAGCTCGTCGTGATCTCGACCATTTCTGTTTAACACGAATATATGTAATCCTGTTTTGAGGCCATAAACAATAGATTGTTCCACATATGTATTTATGGATATATAATCGAAAGATCGCGTTCTTTAAGCTTCGAACCACGCTGTAAAAAAGACAGGTGAATACAAAATAAACATCGCCCGGACAGTGCAGAAATTCAAGAACTCGGAAAAATCGAGAGGTTGCAACAGCAGCAACGTAGGAGCTTAATATCTACAGAAACTTATTACGCGTAATTTTTCCCCGAGCACGGCTGCTTCCATCAGACCAGCGGATGGGGCGGATTGAACTCATTCCCGGGTTCGAAGACTGGCACGATTCTGAGCTTTTGGACAGCTTATTATTAGCACAAGAACTGTAAGCAGGTTCATCGGGGGTACCGTAGACATCAAATTCCTTCAAGAAAGATCAGATCGATGGTGAATAAATCTTCGAACTAAAAGGGGCCTTTCGATTTACGGACAGTTATGTAACTTGTAAGTACCTTGGACCTTGTTTTCGAACGAGGGGTAAGGCAGGGGTTCAAATCTTTAAGGAACATGTCATCTGGGCTATCTGGAGTCGTCGTAAAATCCCCCGAGCTGAATCCCTGATCGAACTGCCCAATGCAAGAATTTCATAGATGAACAATTTTCTTACTTTCAATCGATGCCATGTACAAATTCGAAATGTTTTACCAGAGAATTAGCCGACTCTTGTTGATCATTCCAACCCGGCATCGAAGGGCTGAGGTATCCTTGTCCGAGACATTTCTCCATCTTCACCTGTGCTCATCCATTGGCATTACAGTAGTTGTTTCTGAATTGCAAAACAATGGAAGAAGAAGACAATTACGAGATGAATTCAACCTACCTCTGCAAGATCCTGTGCAAGAGATTGCAGCTGGCCTGTTAGAGAAGTGACCTGCCTCTGAAGACTTGGAATGAGATTTTTAGCTTGCTTCAGCTCAGAACTCTGCTTCTCTAAAACACCATTGAGCTCTGAATTCACCGAATCTGGAAATAAAACTGCGTTCTTTAACGACTTTATCTCCTCCCTTTGCTTCAAGCACAAATCTTTCAATTTCTCAACCTAATAATTACCCCTCAATCATCAGTCTTAACAGTTAGATAATGATTCCAATCTTGTATGGAAAACCCTAATTTGATTTAATTTTACCTCGTTGTTCTTCTCCTGAATCAAAAGATTGAGCTCGGCAATCTCTTCTTCCTGCTGTTTAGTCAGATTCAATAACTCCCTTTCGCTCTTCAACACCATAGCCAGAGTCCTTGCATTTCCTTTAACCTCAGTCAGTGCTTTCTTAGAGTTTTCATTTCCCGATTTCCCCGCCGCCAACGACGACGACGACCCCGACGAGCCTTTGAACAGCTTCTTGTGAAGCCCGCTCAATCCGCTGCTCTTTTTCGCAGGCTTCTTCAAATCCGCCGCTAGGGCGTCGCTGGCAATTATAAACTTTGGGGCCTTGTCGAGATTTCTTGCCTTCTTGGTCTCCACTAATTTCTTCACCATCGAACCCAGGTTCATCTGGCCGCCGCCGCCGGCGGTGGTTTTTTTGGTGAGGGCGGTGCAGGACAGCGGAAGCTCTGTGGATGAGGAGGGATCGGATTTGGTGGAGCTGTTCAAGCTGTTGGTGTAGCGAGTTGCAGAGCGGATTGAAGCCATTTCGCGTGATTCTTGCGGCGAAAGGGAATAATCAGGGTTGGAATTTTGTCAAGAATCGAGGCGCTGTCTGAATTCAAAATTTTTGTCGATTTGAGGAAGAAAGCGTCACTATCTTCGCCATGGCGGGATATCGATTTTTTGAAGATCTGAAAACGACAGCGTTTTGGTTTTTGGTAGGGGGTAGAAATGTAAATTCATCATCGCTGTTTCCAATTTTCTGTTTCCAAATTCCAATCATGAAATTAAAATAAATGGTTGCAGTAATTATAGTCCAACGCGTAATTATTATCCAATTTTTCACAACGATTGACTCAATTAAATAATCAGAGCTTCATAATTTTAACCTAAATGAACAATAATAATAATTCAACAGAATGTCAACAATAAAGTTGACTCCATCTCGAACAACATCCGACCGTTGATCGAGCGGCTCCAAAATCCAACCAAATCGACGGTCCATCCGCGACGGGACTCCAGGTCCCGTCCCTTCCCTTCCCACACCTCACCTCAATCCAACAACCTGGCCGGATTTCCGACCGCCGTGGCTCCCGCCGGAATCTCTTTCAGCACGACGGAGCCGGCCCCGATTTTCGCATTTTCCCCAACCTTAACATTTCCCAGCACCTTTGTCCCAGCCCCAATCAGAACTCCATTCCCAATCTTGGGGTGCCTATCACCTCCGACCTTCCCCGTTCCTCCCAACGTCACGCCGTGGAGGATCGTGACGTCATCTCCGACGACCGCCGTCTCTCCGATCACAACACCAGTTCCATGGTCGAACACCACCCCACTCCCAATCCTCGCCGCCGGATGAATGTCAATCGCGAAAACCTCCGACACCCTGCTCTGAATCACCACCGCCAGCGCCGCCCTGCCCTGAGCCCAGAGGCGGTGCGCCGCCCTGTGCGCCTGACATGCCAGAAATCCCTTGAAGTTCAGAAGGCAGTGGACGTAGCTCAGGCACGCCGGATCCCGCTCTCTCACGGCCGTCAGATCATTCCTGATCGAACGGCGGATGTCTTCGTCTTCAATTAGGGTTTTGCAGAACACTTCGTAGAGTGCCTCGCCGGACAAATTGGGGGAGCAGAGTTTTCCGGCGAGTTGATTCGCCAGAGCACTTTCAAGGGACCTGTGGGAGAGTACCGCGGAATTGTAAAAGTTTTTAAGGATGGGTTCTTGGACGGCGTCGCAGACAGCCTCGATTCTGATCTTGAACCAGAGATGATCGTCGAATTCTTGATTGCCGGCGGCGGTGGTGCAGAGATACTGTCCTGGCAGATTGGTGGCGGTGACGACTCGGCGGCCAGTGGAGTTATTGTTAGCTGGGAGACACAGACAGTCTGCCATTGATGAAACCTTGTGCAAATTTGAGCTAGGGTTTATAAGGGTGCTCATATGGGATATGGTATTTATACATATCGACGATGGATAAAGAATGGTAAAATATATTGTTGAGATAGTTTGGGTGTGTTTCTTTTTGATTTGGGTTGCGTTTGAAAATTTAAATATTTTACTAAAATAACAAATTATATGATAATTTATAAAAGATATATAGTAGATTATTATTTGAGTCTATTGAAAATTTATTTGTAATTTTATTATTAACAATATACAATGTTAAAATTATATTAACTCTTATTAAATTTTGTGATTAAATTAAATGATCTTATCTTATACAGCGAGGAGTATCAATAGTATTAAGTTTGTAGCCGTCGCACATGAATTAAGTTGAAGTCAAGGAAGTTCTCGAGTTCAACTCCCAAGCAGTAGACATATAGTAATAATAATAATAATAATAATAATAACAACAACAATAATTCACTGGTTTCACACCAGTTCTTGCAAAGTTCAAGAATTAATATGCCTCCCCATTGACTGACAAGAAATTTCGAAGATGTTTACCAAATGATAATCAACAATTGTAGTAGTCATTTTTTTTTTTAGTTTACATAGTGGGTTTGCATTAATATATATTTTTAACATTTAGAGTAAATTGTGAGAATTATATATATATATATATATAAAAATGTCGAAAAGAATTCAAATAAAAAAAAAATATATAATTCAAATATATTTATTTTTGTTAAAAAAAAATTATTTTTACTATATAGCATCAAATATTCTATGGGCTCAGCTCACCTTAATTTTTTTATCATACATAAAACATTTAATCAATCCAACGCAGTCCGAAGTACTTCTTCATGTCGTCATCATCGACATCATATCACGTCATCAGTATCAGCTAAAGCAGTCAAGTCAATGGAAGTTGGAAAGACATGGTGACGAAAGCGGTGACGATTTCCTGCACCACAAGCAAAAGAAAAAAAAAAAAACAATTCGAAAAACAAGTCAAACATAAATTGCTATAAGCAGACAGAAGAGTCTGGAACCTTAATAACGTCGAATGCCTTACAGAAATATACAATCTTCGACCCACAGAAATATACAATCTTCGACCCATTAATTGTTTTCATGTAAACTCAATTCAAATCAATCACTTATAAATTATATTAATTTAAAAAATTTTACTATTCAAATTCAAAATTGAAAAAAAAAAAAAACAACTTACTCTTCCATACGTTCGGCGGGCCCTTGAGGGGCAGGGCCCTTGCTGTCGGCGGCCTTCTACGCTGCCGCCTCAGATCGGGGGGCGGTGGGGGGCTCCGGTAGCCGCGGAGGGTTCATCAGCGATGTCAAGTAGGCGAGAATGTCGGGGACTGGGTTGATGTCCACCCAGTAGTTGTTCACCCAATCCTTGGCGATCCTGATATCTTTCCTATCGACAGACTGAAACTTTTTCTCCCCTGTCGAGTGGTTACATAATACATACATGAATCAGTTAATAAGAATTAACGGATCAAAAAAAGGCGAAACTATTGTACGTGTTCGAATGTACCCGGGAAGAAGAGCTGTATTTGATTATTCAAGCACGGGTCGCATCCGATCACGATTGCTTCCCACCACCCATCCCCGCACCACGCATCCACCGCTGTACCTACACTAAGACTTGCATTTGAAGAATTCCAGTTAGGCCAGGCCCGGACGTTCAGACGGCCGGAAATTCTGATGCCCAGTTCGTCGGGGTCTGCTTCTCTCTCCCTAGGAACACACTGCTGCAAAATCGACGTCAATGGAACGTATCAGATCACAGTTAAAACTCTATATGATGAAAAAGCTTAGTGCCTGCACTACCTCGACTTTCTGAGACTCCCCGGAGTTGATAACATCATAGTATTGGACATACAGGAACCTCGGCGACCTTCTTAACACCTTGCACCTTAACCAGCAGCCTCTCATACCGCTGTCGAAAGAAAGTACCTCAACATGATCACCGACATGCCAAGCTGGGAGACGCTCTTGCACACGAACAGGTTGAGGCGGCTCTATATCGCGGGTTTGCTGAATCCTGAAATTATTATTAATTTTGGATTTTTTTAGTCCTCGAGGTGCAGAGGGGTCACCTTGTTCGGTTTGATCGTGTCCTTCGTCAGTGTAAATCCCGGTAAGAAGTTCCACATGATGCTGCTTGGCGTATCCACGTAGCTTACTCATACAAAACTTGCTCACACTGTTGCTCTTGATTTCTCGGTGGCAAAAGAAACAGTTGAGCAATGTATGTTGCGGAAATACCTCGTTGCATTTCTTGAAGTGGCTGGGGGTCAGTACCGAAACCAGACCATCAATGCATTTGGCACTGATCTCCTGCACATTATAAGTAATGAACAGTTCTTGTGGATCGGGCTGCATCTTGAGGATGGTTCGGCCTTCAACATCCTCGCTGTGAAGAAACCAGCGGATAAGGGCTGTTTTCTCCATTCTCCGGTTATCAAACAGATCTTCTACATAGCCAATGTAGCTTTTGTTATCTTCCCCCCAAACGCACACGAAAGACCAAATCTACAAGGATCATTCTAACACATTAAAAATGCAGAATACAGACAGAATGCAAAATTGGAGTCAAAATTTGAAGAATACTCACAAATATGGAAATTCCTTTCTGGAGAAAAGAATTGTAGTGCTTCAGCTTCTCACCGCACACCCAAGACGCATTAGACCATTGAATTTCTGAATCTTGTTCAACGAACTTTCTGGATTCTAGGATCTGAAAGTAAGAAAATTCTTTGGTTAGGAAATCCTTGCGAGGCCTTTATTGATATAATATGAAAAACTAAAATCTACAACAACAGATAGGTTAATCACCTCATTGTCCAAGAGGTTGCTACGCTGAGACACATGAGTTCTTGAGACACGATTTCTAGTGTTAACCATTATGGATCTCAGGTATGCTCTGAATAAATACTGAAGATTCGCTGGAAATTAGCTGAAAAAAGAAGAAGATACATTGAATATATTTGCTCAGAACTAATAGCAGCACCTATAGAAGGAAGCATAAAAATGCTAAAATCAACTTTAATAAAAATGCATATAAATTCTAAAGTACTAATATAAATAGAAATCAGATGTCGGTTTAGAAATAGATATTTAATTCTAAAACGTTTGTTAACAAATCAATAAGCAAGGATAATAGCAAGACAGCAGCAAGGTATGAAAACAAACAAGTCAAGTTTGGTTTAGGAATGTCAATCTATCAAAGCCACAAAACCACGGTTAGACAAGTGACGCAAGCCTCACTGAAGGCATGTGCTGAGAAATGGAGACTGGCGCCGAGGCTGCCAGGTGCGCTTCTTGCTATGGCGCACCATTGACAACTATGGCCTTCGATACCAGATCTCCTTGCACCAGAGTTTTGAAATAGAGACAAACTATAGGAAGCTGATGAAGACAGATCCGTAAATCCCAGTTTAAATAACATACCAACAAATCCCATGACTGAACAATGAACCAAAAACTTAATGAAAAACTTAAGCAGAGTCACAACAGATAAATGATTATTTCCTTCAATGACAGATATTATGTTTTCTCAAACAACTGTATCGTAAAATGTTAGAGGCAAGTACATGATTACCTTGATTGCCTTGTACTCAAGAAGAAAGCCGAGGCGATATCACCGAAGGTCGAAAACTTATTCACAAAGAATAGATGACAGCAGCATTTAAATAGACAAATGTTTGCGCTAGTGTGAATGCAAGCAGTGAAAGGGTGCCAGCCAACCTAACGCTAAGACGGACGTTTCAATGGAAACGCACCGATATAATTAATTGCCAGATAAACACACATGAAAGTTTTAAAATTTACCAACCACTTGCTATCTATTGTAGATTTGTAAATGATTTTATAAAATGATATATTAATATTTGCTCATCAACAATGAGCCAAGGTCAACGACGGAGATGAACTGACACAATAAAAACAGATATTATTAAAATACACAATAAAATTGTGTAATATCAGAAGGCAAAGAACCTCATTGAAGTTTTCCATCTATACACTAATCTTCAGCATGTATTTGTATTCATGATTTTTTTTTCTCAATTGCAATGGAAATTGTGAGGCGATTTGTATTCCTTCTTTATTCCGAAAATTCTGAATCTCTGTCTCCCACTCTTTCTTTTCTGTATGTCTTCTAGTTTAAATGTGTTACATAAAACAAACGGTCGAAATATTGTGAATCTATTATCAGGCATTACAGCATTTCCATCAATTACTCATACCATCAATTTTTTAAGTTGATATTTCGACAAACTTCATCAGATATGATCACAGTTGCATTAACAACGAGCATGGATACTTACCAACAAGAAGATTGAAGTATATATTCACTAAAAAATTTCCCCATACAGGCTTGGACTTGATCAGATTTGTATAAGTGTATATGCATACAAATCAGTACAAATGCTGGTTTTTTTCAAAGGTCAATTGATTAACTTTACAACCTTCCAAAACTAGATATTACAAAATCAAGTTCAGAAACCATATAAAAGATCAAAAGCACACCTATGAAATATAATAAAGCCTACACTATAAAACTTACTCCCTAGAATTCTTTGTAATGAACTCATGTTAACTGCCTGAATCTAAAAAATTTTAGTTCTTGATTGATTCAAGCTATCTTATTAGTCTTATTATTTCAATCACCGAAGTCCTGATCCATAAATTGCTTCCTTATATTCTTTTTATCTGATACCTCAAGTTAACAGGCAGTTCATCAGCCTAACTGCTTCAATTGGGAGACAACTCTTTACATTATTCTTTTCTTGAATACAGCATGCAATATGGAGAGATCATAAACATGCGCAGAAAACAGAATGCAAATTGGAATTGAAGTTGAAGAATAGTAATGTACACTCACTCTTTTCCAGGAAAGCACTGGATAATGTTTCACCTGACAATTTCAATAACAGAAATTTGTGTGACAAAATGTTTGACTGAAAGTATGTTCTTCGGTTGGGGACGATGAAGACCTGTATTCACATTAAACAAACAATTAGGACTATGAAAAATGAAAGGAATCACCTCCCAGCCCAACAATGCTACACTAGGATACTCATTGAAGACAACAGGCATCCAAATGTGGCGTTTCTGCCAATAACATGCTGTTTTGAAGTTAATGTTTATTAACTATTTTCTTTTGAATGTTATATGGAAATCTATCTCAAACGACCTACTTGCATTATCCAAATAAGAGCAAAATTAGCAACAACTAATAATGCATGTTGCACGGAAACAACACATATAAATTGATAAAATAGAGAAACTTCAAACATGAAATGAACATAATGAAAAAACTTCTAAACCCTACTAAAAGCACATGATAGCAAGGACAGTTACACAAACATATAGGCAAGAAGTTGCATGCAACATACAAGAGGAAGATGAACCATCGGATGAAAAGTGCCCAATTCAATAGAAAATACAGGGCAAGACGAATATGAACCATAAGAAAACATGATTAAATAGAATTCTAATGAGATATCAAGAATTTAGCACCATCTAGAGTACAAAATGCACTTTTGAAATCAATGACTTTGAGTACGATACCAGAAATGAAACTACAAGAACATTACATAGACAATAAAAGGAACAGCACTCTAAAAGAGCATAAATCATTTGTCTATTTACAAAACTGTGTCACATCAAACAGCCAATTGACAACAAATCAAAAGAGACACAGAATAATACGTCCGAGGAATTTAGTCATTATGTTAGTAAAAATGAAATCAAGGATAGCATATGCCAACACCATCTGCAAAAGGAAAACTTGCTTTTATTAGTAATCTAATATACAAAGAGATCATAAACTCCAAATTTTGTAGCCTGATTGATGCTAGCATAATAAACTGAATTAAATCCTTGCATAGAAAAGTTCAGAAATAGTAAAAAATAAGAATTATGACTGTAAAGGCAGATATGAACATCCTAGTTTAACTTACCAGCATAAATCATGAGCCAACACAAGTTCAATAAGATATTCCAATGTGAACAAGAAAAGATACAAGGAAAATTAAAATTGAAACTTTTTCTTACAAAATAAAAGGAATCACAATTAGATCAAACAAGAAATTTATTTAAAAAATTTTAAATAAATTGCTGAGGAGAAATCAACCAACTTTACATTCATTGCAAAAAATGAATACGAACATGATATAATATATAAATGTCTTGGGCCTTTTGAGCGCTCAATCAGCATGCATCATTTAGATCATCCAAGGGTAAATTTGTATTCGGGTAAAACACAATAGGGCAAATCATAACCTTTGGAAAGTGTACAAAAAGCTATAAATTTCGTTTATATATTGATTCTCAACCCGTTTTTCGAAAATTACTAACAAAAACAAGCCACAGTTCACTGCTATAGCATAGCTCTATGTTCAGCTTCAACGACGTCTTTCATTCAGCATATTTGCGTGCTCCTGACAAACAGCATAGGAATCTCAACAACTAGACGGTGATTCGCATACAATAAATCAATAATCCTCCTTGACCAGGCAATCCTTTCACATCCTTTTAACTGAAAATGGCATACCAAATATCAACAGTAAGATAATCAAGCTTACAAACATTGTCCCCGCGGTTGGAGCCAATACGCCCCGCCGGCGGCAGCTACCTCTACGCCGCCCCATCCGTAGTGGATTTACGGTTCCATCGTCAAATTGATTTATATTTATCTGCAAATTTATTTAATCTGCTAAAATTACTAAAACGGGCTGGCCCAAATACGGCCCAAAATTTATTTGGGCTACAGATTTTTTGTGCCTGATCAGAATTGGATTTTCGATTCGTATATAATTTGTCAGTCATTCAACACTGCGATTATATTCCCACACATGATTATGAACACAACCAACCAATACAAATACAATACAACAATTTCACTACACTAAATTACACACACTCGTACACACACACACACATCTGATCGGATCAGATAAGCTAATTAATTGATATTCATGGGACGCAGGAAATGTTGGAGACTTCCATGGGGTACTTGAAGGAGTTGGCGTACTGGAAGACGACGACCTCGGCGGGGCCGAGAAGCTGGCCGTCTTTGACGAGGCAGTCGTCGTAGCCGAGTCGCCGGAAAATCCGCGGGTCGATGAGGCGGGCCGTGCTGAACCAGCCGCAGCTGAGGTGGATGTTGTAGATCTTGCAGCTCCCGTACATGCAGAAGTTCTCGATGCTCACTGTGTACGTCGGAATCCCGCTCGGCAGCGGCGCCGTCGCGCCCTGGAACACCAGGATGTTCTCCTTCGAGCACCAGTCCCCGCCGGGACCGATCCGTTTCTCCGACCACACGCCCGTGTTCCCCTTCGCCTCATGATTCCACACGCCCGTGTAGCCCTTCTTCACCTTCTGCCCTACTTTATCTGGTTCTTCCATTGCACCCCCAGAAATGGCCACATCTGAAATCACAGTCGCACACATATATATATATATATATATATTAATTAATTAGGATGATGAAGATGAAGAGACGCATGGAGAGAATTAATTACGTACAGAAAAGCAGGATGGAAACAAGAATTTGATTATAATAATTATACATGGTGATCGAATCAAATTGAATCAAAATCAAACCCAATTGTGCACTGCAGACAAAATGGTGATCTCATGAGGGTTTGGTTCGTAATATCGTATTTATAGAGGGAGGGAGAGTGTTAGCTGGGAAGGATTTTAGTACAGCAGTGTGCCATTAATGACGTTTAAATTTGTCTTTGAATAAAGTGCAGTGCGTACAGTAAAGGATACCACAAAATCGATGAATTAATGCAAATGCACATTTGAAGACATTCTTGATATCTTCTTTCTTCGTCTTCTTCCTCAATAAATTATTAATTTATCTCCTTACTATGTAATTAATGGCCGCTGTACGTAGTAAATACTACTACTACTCATCAAAAGTCTCAAATCATTACATACAGTAGGGTTTGACTGTGAATTAAGTGAAGAAGGAGACCTGCCATATATCTCATACATACATACATATATATTCTGCAAATGCAAATGGAAATGGTCGAATGGAATTGAATCAAGAAGTTGGCACAGCATGGTAAGGAGTGCAAGAATTCAATTCTGTCTCATCTCCCCATGCATTGATCCACGGGCCGGGCCGGGCCGGGCTTGACTAAAACAAATTTATACTTGTGTGATTATTCAACACATTTACATTATGGTTATGCATTTCATCATTCGGAACTACCTTTAAATTCTACAATTCCATCAGTTGCAACATATCGTTGAATTTCATGAAAAAACATTCAAAAAAACACTATACAGATATCAGGTTACCTGAGGATTAAGCTTCTTAAAGGTCCATCTCTGCAAGGATCCTTTTTACAGCCATGGAAGTACTTAGGTTTCTTCTCCAATCTTTCAAAGAAGACTTCTTCTGGTCACAAAGTAGTTCTAGCAATATCATCATCATCAGCTGGCGGCATATCTCTCACTTGTCGGATAAGTCGACTCAGATCTTTCACAAGTTCTCTATGTACAAAATCATACCTCTCCTTGGTCACCATTGCTTCAGCAAACAAGGTACCTGTAAGAGAATTGAATTCCTGACAGCATTCCTTCATTTTCGTTCCGCTAGAGGAGAAGAGGGAGCTCTCTTGTCCCCACCGGCTCAAAAGATATTTTCCGGGAAGTTGAAAATAGTTCTTGAGTAACAGAACCCGAAGGGCATGTCTGCAGAGGATTCCAGTCGACTCGAATTCCTTGCAAGAACAGTGAATTTGTTCGCTTTCAGACATCCAGAGTACAAGACGCTCGGCGTCAGCCTTCTTGAAATGGCGCACAAGATACGACCCGTTAGGCATTTCAGACACAGCATATTGCATAGCTAACACCATTTCTTGTTGCATTTTATCGAACGCGAAAGGGGTGAGAATGCTACGGGCGTGCTCCTCGACAGGTAGACATGTTTTCAGATGCAAATACGACACCTCCGCACATGACTGCATTTTATTACCAGACACCATTCCTATCTACAAAGTCGAAGATAAATTGAACATAAAGGCAGAGTGGTTAGAAAGAAAAGTTAATGTCCAGGACAAACAAACTCACCCGTTCAAAAACACCGCGCAAACATGTTTGAGTTTTGGTTACTCCTGTCAGAAGTACGTCGACAGATTTCCAATAAGACGCAGAATCCATTCGCGCAAGAAAACATCCCCTAGTGTAAGGTAAAGCCCAAGACATTCGAAGCGAAAAAAGTAAAGCAATGTGCTTATCCGAAGTAAGTTCAAAATGTGTAACCATCTGATTCCACCGAAATTCAAACTCATCGGCACTTTCTAGACGGCACAACTCTTCAAGTTCGTATTTATATTCGGGCAACCTTGATCCAAGTGCAAGAGAAAACCAACTGGATACTTTGGCAAGGACATTGTACGAGGAAATAACATGCTTTGTGCTCGCCATTTCGGTTCTTATGGCTTCTCCCAAACAAGTGTTGATATCTGTAACCATAGTCTGCGGACACTTCCCTTTCATAAATCGACGAAAAGCCTACAGAAGAATTGAACAAGATGAGCCGAAAATCGTAAGCATAGAAAACGATAATGAACTGAAATAATTTTCGGAAACCTGCAAAGCCCACGCATACGACTGGAGGGTTTCGTCCTGCAGCAAAACACAACCAAAGAAGATAACTTTTCCATGATTGTCGATGCCAAGCCACGCTCCGAAGAGGAGACTGTGAGATATCGAACGATATGTCAAGTCAAAGTACACAACATCGCCAAATAAGCCGTAGGCGTGGACAGAATCTCCATACGACCAAGCAATGCTCTCAATTTTATCATTTTCATCGACAGCAACTTCGTAAGCAAAGTATGGATCAGCATCTTTATTCATCTTGCAGGCCTCGAGAAGATCAGCCATGTCGTTTTCTCTCTTCTCAGACAATAGAGCATCGTTCTCTACAACAACTTTCTTGCGATTCTGGATGAAGTTTCTGACATCTCTTACGAGAAACGAGAGCTGTCCTCCTTGAATCCCCTTTTCCAGCTCAAGAACCTTAACAATTCGATGCACCGGAAATCCAGCTTTCGAAAGCAGAAGAATCCTCTCTTGATCAGCCTCCTGAATTTTACGATAAGCCGGAAGAAGTCGAACTTGGTCATCCTCTAAGAGCTCATGATTGTGCACATTGCTAAACTGCACGACGAACCACTGAGAAACCCCGTCGACTACCTCCTTCGACAAGTACATTTTAGCATCGCAGCCACATCGAACAGATTTTCGGTCCCTCTGATGTTCTCCCATCTGTTTCTTCCTCGCAGGTGCAAACCCTGATCTGTAGCACACAAAATCTCTCTTATAAACCCCCAATTGAGGACTCAATCTTGATCTCTCCTTCCTAATTGAAAAACCATTTTTTCTAGCGAAATTCACATAATACTCGAAAGCTTCGTCGTCACTGTTAAATATCATTCCCACATAAGGGGCTACCATGGCCTCCATCTGTGTAGCACCATTGTCGATCGATTGTGATCCTGTGGTGGTCTCATCCACATCTCCATCGTATGTTATAAAGCATTTCCAATCCCCACAAGGGCATTGCTGCCTTTTCATCCACACAGCCTTCGGCTGCACTGACACCATAACTGACTAAAGCTACTCGACGAATTCTCATACAACGCCTTTAATTGAATCGATTCCCAAGTAAAGCCCTAATTCTATCTCCCAGAAAATTCCTTGAACAACATGAAAATTCAACAAATTATCAAGAAAACGCTCGACACAACACATATTCGATGAAATGTGGAGTTAAAACACCTGTTCGTATAATTCCAACTCTACTCAAACTCGCACTAGCAAATGAATTTAAGTTAACTACAGATTAAACGAAATTCTCAAGCAATCGAAGTACTAGAGGGATATGGCGTAAACGTACCATAAGTAATCAAGCTTCAATCCTTCGATTTTGTCCTTAATTTCTTCCGCCGCAGCGTTCTTGACACGAATGGAATCACGGATCGGATGGCCTCCTTTAGGTGGCTTTCGTGGGCCTCTCTCGGGCTTGGGTTTGGGCTCCCAATTCCAACAGTGAACCATTAATGACTTCCTCCATTTTCATAGTTTACTGATTTATTTAGAACATTATTTAAATATTAAAAACTGATTATACATGAAGGGTGTGTTTGTTTGAAGGATTTCGGTGGATTTTCACTATTCATCCAATTTTTTTTTCCCAAAAACATCAAATCAAACACTTATTTTTCATTTTTATATTATACTAAAAATTAATTTTACATTCAAAACATCACATTAAATCCTATTTATATCACATCATATAACTATTCAAATTCAAAATTTTTACTATTCAAATTTCAACTCAAAATCCAAACCCCCAGACAAACACACCCGAAGAAAGCATACTTTTTTAGATTCACCTCCAAGCATTGTGATTTGGGTGTTTGGAAGAATTTCTACCTCTAATTTTAGTTTAGTCAGCCAACAGATTCTTGTCTGATGTGATTTCTGCACCAAACACAAAAATATCAGAGCTGCAAAGAGTGGTTCAGAATTCTTGATGTTGATCAATCAAACCCCAACAAAATCACCCACCAAAATTCAGCCCCTTCACACACTTCTTCGATTCCCATGAGCTTCTGTGAATGACAAGTTTCATAGTTCTGGCTCTTATTATCAATCGAAAAACCAATCTGAAGTTTTGTGAACTGTGCGTGTGTTTGTTGCATGTGTAACGGTTGAAGATTTGAAAATGAGGTTGAGAACGTTCCCGAGTGTTGCTTTCGAGGGATTGCTTAAAAGTAGGGCAAAAATCCCACCTCATCTCGTCTCTCTGCGGTCAATTTCTTACAGCATTGAATCTCTCCATAAAACCCCAGGTCGGAGCCTCATAATTCCTTGCAATAGATTGGCAGAAACCTCAGGAAGAACGCCATGGAAGAACAACAAGCAATGCCGGCCTTTGGATTGCGTCTCGGTGGAAAAGATGTCTGTCTTCTTGCACACACACACCCTGTTGTGTTAGAGATCAACAGACTGGAGAATCTCCTCAAAGGTATCATCACTTTCTTGTCTGTTCCTCGTATTTGATCGAAATTCTGTCTGGAGATGTGTAGAATGAATTTGAATCCTTTTTCATATGAAGCATCTTCTTGAATGCCAGAAGTTGAAATAAAACATTGTTGTCTTTACAGAGAAGGAGGGTGAACTGAGGAAGGCTAGAAGTGAAATTCGGGCACTTCGTGCAACTGAAATGTTCAAGGATAAGGCTGTGGAAGAGGTACTCGAAAGTTCCACGTCTCATGATCAATCTTGCTATCAAAATTATGATTATAACTAGTGGTAGCCTCGACGATTCTTTTGTCCAGCTTGCAAGTGAGGTTGAAAGGCTGGAAGAAAAGCTAAGATCCCATGAAAACCACCTCGAACATAAGGTGTCAACTTTGGATACATATCATTAATTATTATATAGTCAACTTTGGTTTCGAATTGTTAGATTTATTGAGTGAGTTTAGTGACACTTGGGGTGCATATATATGTAAAGTGTTTCTTGTCTGATTGATGCAGAGTCTTGAAATCAAGAAACTCGCGGACGAGAAGAAGGAAGCATTGGCTGCTCAATATGCTGCCGAAGCGACTCTTCGAAGAGTTTATGCTGAGCAAAAGGATGAAAACTCTCTTCCCCTTGAGTTAGTCATAGCTCCCCTCGACGCAGAAATTAAGATACATAAGAATGAGGTAATTGTTCGAATGTGGCGCACCCCTGTATCTATCTGCACGAATGTAGCTCAAGAATGGCGACCAATTCAAATTTTTGGTGTTTTAGGTTGCTGCACTGCAGGAGGATAAGAGGGCTCTGGAACGTCTCATAAAGTCGAAAGAAGTAGCACTGCTCGAAGCTGAAAGAATACTGAGAAGTGCTTTAGAAAGAGCGCTAGTAGTCGAGGAAGTTCAGAATCAAAATTTCGAGCTTAGGAGGCAGATAGAGATATGCCAGGGGGAAAACAAAATACTCGAGAAGACGAATAGGCAGAAGGTTTTAGAGGTTGAAAAGCTCAGCCAAACCATCAGGGATCTCGAGGAGGCCATACTTGCCGGCGGAGCAGCAGCCAACGCCATTCGCGATTACAGGCGACAGATCTTGGAATTAAATGTAGGAACATAATGAATCATGTATTAGCCTTTCTGCAACAAAAATCGACTGATCTTAAGTGTCTGACTGCTTGATAGGAGGATAAAAGGATGCTCGAAAGGGAACTAGCAAGAGCAAAGGTTACGGCGAACCGGATGGCAACTGTCGTGGCTAACGAATGGAAGGATGGAAGGGACAAAGTTATGCCTGTGAAGCAATGGCTGGAAGAGAGAAGGATATTTCAGGTATTGTTTGTTCGATCGGCGCAACTATCCTGAAAACGATAGCTTTCTTTGTGTATATATGTCGAATGCTTTGTAGGCGGAGATGCGGAAGTTGAAAGACAAGCTCGTTACCTCGGAGAGAGCTGTGGAGGCGGAAGCGCGAATCAAGGTGCTTTTTGAAGTATCATTTCAGCTACAACTTTCGATTTTTTTTATTGCGCTGTTCGTCTTGTCTTTATGACAGTATGGATTTGTGCATCGCGTTGATCAGGAGAAGATGAAGTTGAGGCTTAAGATTCTCGAGGAAGGCTTGCGACAAAAGATTACGCTTTCTGCGAGTAACAATGGAATCTCGAAAGGCGAAAGATCGAACTTCTTTGGAATTCTGTCGAGTAATGGTCGAGCAAGAAAGAGATCGACGCCGCAGCCTTTGTCATCCACAGACACTAAAAGAAAGTTGAGAAAGAGTCTGTGGACTTCTCGGAACAAAGTTATCGACAATTGTGGAAAGGAAAACAAAGAGATGATCGAAAACTTCTCCGATATGTCTGATATCGATTGCAGCGATATGGTCTCCGGATTTCTTTACGACGTGCTTCAGAAAGAAGTCATAAACTTGAGGAAGTCCTGCAGCTCGAAAGACGGTTGTTTGAGCTCCAAAGACGAAGAAATCAAGGTGTGTATTAGTGAATATCGTTTTCTAACATATAAATACGCCCGTGCATTGATCCGTGACGTCGAAAATCTTTTATCTTGCTAGACACTAATGAAAAAAGTCGAAACACTGAGCAAAGCCTTAGAAGTCGAGTCGAAGAAGAAGACGAAGAGACAAATGCATCGAAAGGATGAGCAATCGACAATCCTATAGATTCGCGAGTTGTCCTAATTTGTGTGAAAGCATGTATGAACAACATTGTATCGATCAAACTATAAATAAACGGATGATTCCCGATACATTACGTATTCACATAAGCTATAGCACCTCTCAGTTTTCCATTTTGTTTGATCCATGGAAGTCGAGGGTTGTCGAATCTATGCTATTACAAAAAAGAAAAAAAACAGGGGAGAGTTACAAAACAACAATCTCTGCTAAAGTTCAGGGATCATCGCTAAACTCGGCCTCCATTTCTTCCCCGGCCTAGGTTTGGACAAGAGCACAATATGTCTCACCTTGAGCTGTTGTCTCATTGTCATAATCTCCCGCAACTGCTTCTTGTTCACCACAATCTTTACCCTCTGCGGTGATCTCGGAGAGCCTTCCGACTCCGGCGACAGCGCGCCGAATTGCTCGGAAACAATCTTTTTGTCCACAGCCATCGACTGGAATTCGTGTACATCTTCAGGGCTAACTTTCTTCCTGTCTGCAAACGATGCACATATGCAATTTCCCATTTCTGTTAATCTCAATAGGACAACCTCAGCCTGCACAAATTTGTGTCTATATATATATATACATATGTATGTGTATATGTGTGTGTATATATGCCGACACGGCGGGGAAGTTGTGGAGACATGAGAAACGTGCAGACAAGTATGCGAAGATGATGAAGTTTGGTTGGGGGAGGTTTACTAAGAAATGGCGATTTTCAACTTATATTAATATTTTAGTTTACTTATAACACAAATGGTTGTTGTCTTGTTGACCTAATGAAGGGTTATTTAACTCTAAATCCTCACAAATTAGTCAACTTCTTCTTTCTTAAGTCTGTCCATATGCAGCCATGGAAGCTGAATGTCAACCCTCTAGAATACCGACATGTTTATCTGCAGTTAGAAGATTCTAAACTTGGCTGTTCGAAAAGCCCATTATGAATAAACCCCACTTCCATTTTGGCAAATGTCAGGTCTGAATAATTATATTTTGTGGACAAGAGATTAATGGTAAAAAGAATAAGAAATAAAAATGGGTTCTTGAAAAATGATGAGACCACATTTTATTGAAGCCAATGGTAATGTTACAGCAATAATGAAGTCTCTTCTTCTTTTTTGTAAATTTGGGGTAGGGTATTTATTATTTGTCGTACATGTTGGTGAAAGAACAAATTTTTTTCACCCAATTTTTGGTGTGGATGATCATAATGGATCTGAGGAATTAAATTTACATGATGTAGCAAGAATGAGGATTCTCTTCACTGAAGTAATGATCGCATCTGCTAACGTAGCACCCCCTTCTGTAGTCGTAGTACCCGTCGTAGCACGGCGGCGGCGGCGGCGGAGCGCCGGCGTACGGCCCGTAACCATGATAACACGGCCCACCGCCGAAACCGTGGAAACATTGGTCGCAGCACGTCCTAACCGGGAAAGCCGGTGGATAATCTGGCACCGGCACCGGCGGCATCACCGGTTCAGCCGGCGGCACCGGCTTCGGTTCTGGGGGCGACGCCGGCGTGGGAGCCGGCGGTTTCGGAGCTTCCTTTGGCTCCACCGGCGGAGGTAGCGCAGGCGGTGCCGGCTTCGGCTTTTCCTGCTCCTTCGGCTTTTCTGGCTCCTTTGGCTTCTCCGGCTCCTTAGGCTTTTCCGGCTCCTTAGGCTTCTCCGGCGACTTGGGTTTCTCCGGCAGCTTGGGTTTCTCCGGCGACTTGGGTTTCTCGGGCTCCTTGGGTTTAGGTTTTTGAGGCTCTTTGATTTCGATGCTTTTGATGACCTTACAACCTTTGTAGCAGAGCTTGTCTCGAAGCTTTTCGGGGTCGCAGCAGACGACGGTGATGGTGACGGTGTTGTTCTTCTCATCGTACACCTGGTCTCGAATTTCTGTTGTCCCAAATTTTCACAAAACCAAATCAAGATCGAATTGGGATTCTTTTTTTCCCCAGAAAAACAAACAAAAACAATCGCAGATGCAGAATCATCCCTTTTCAGCAGAAATCAAGAATTGCCCAAATTCGACCAACATATAGGGTATTAAATTCATATGCAATAAAGCTCGAATTGATTCGACTCACGGGGGAATTTGCAGAGGATTTTCTTGACCTTCTTGTAGCAGCAAGGGCACTGCAGATCGACCTTCAGCACCATCACAGTCACCTGATGCAATTCTCATTACAACAAATAAATCCTAAAAGAATTCACAATCCACAATCAAACAAATTCAATCATCCCTGTAAATTAAATTGAATTAGATACCTTCTCTGCCATGGGAATGATCAACTAATTAATTAAGTGGGATTCCTTGGAGCATAGATCTGGAGAAAGAAAGAAAGAAAGAAGTAGAAATATGAATACGAATATGAATATGATGGATCATGTGAAGAAGATGAAATCAGCAAAAACAGCTCTGTAATGATGTGAAGGAGAGTTGGGAGGGGAGGGAGGCCTAATTGCTGACTCTTTACTCATTTGTTTGCATGTTGTATTTGATGTTCACTTCTCACCTTCCATGGAAATTCCATGCCCTCTCTCTCCTAATTACTTACCCAACCAAATTCTAATTTTACTATCTTCAATAAATTTATGTCTTTTTTATTTCTTGTTTGAATTTTGTTTAGAATAAATAGGGTATTGTAAAGTCATTTGATTTTGTTTTTTATTTTAATTTTTGTGTTATTCATCGTTGAAAATTGTGACGAGTAGTTCTACGTGGATGTTTTTAGATCGTACCAGCTCAGCACTATGTGATTACACGTCATTTTTTTATGACGTGTTTTGAATTTACTTAAATATTTTAAAATGATTCGATTTTTCGATAAAAATAGTAAATAATCTTACATTCACGGATCAAATGAATGACTTTGCTTAATTGTTTTTGTTTTGATACTAAACATAACCATCTCCTTACCTTCACATGTATACATAGCATTCAATATTTTACCTTTTTTTTTTTATTCAAAAAATTATATATAATGAATCTTCTTTTGTTAAAAATTATGATTATTATTATTTACCAGTATTGTTTAATCTAATTGTTTTTAATAAAAATATACAGTATTTACCAACTATATATTTTACTGTAAAAAATTGAAAATATCCAAAAACACAAAAAGAGTACATATCAATAACAATAAATTTGATTAATACTCTTGCACAGCAGGGTTTGACAATTGGCATTATCATCAACTAATAATTTCTTGTTAAATACTATTATTTGGACATATGAACAACCCTTTTTTCATAATCTAATGTAGTTATAATCAATTAATTAATTAGGGTAGAATGAGTTGTTATATAGGAGTAATTAATTAATTAATATATTAATTGAGAAGACTAATTTTGTCAAATGTATTGATAAGGACTTTATATTAACCAAAATTTAAATTCAATCATTTATAAATTTTTTTTTTTATTTATGTGTTTGCGCGTGATCATCTTCCAAAATTTTGTGTAAAAATCAATACAGAGAAATACATATTTGAATAAATATAAATAATCTTACTACAAATATAATTAAATTTACACTTACTTATATGATCAGTGTCAATTTATATATCATGAATGAAATAATTTTTAAAAATTAAAAGTCAAGTGTATCCTATTTAAAAATAGTAGGCTATTTCACCCCAATTAAATTAAATTAAATTAAATTAAAAAGGGAGTCGAGGCATTATTGATGTGAGCAACATATATTTCTGCCCATTCAATCGTTCATGCAACTCTTGCCAATGCCCATATAAATTTAAACAATAAAATAAAATACAAGAAATCATTATCAATTAAGACAAGTTAAATAAAAAGTTTTAGGCCATCGGTTTCAACATCGACATCCAATTTTGGACAAAGCTTTAAACGATAAAGATTTCAAGAAAAAAGTTGGCATCAAATTCACCCCACTTTTTTTCACACCCATCCATTTCAAAAATTAAATAAATAAATAAATAAATAAAAGATTGTGGTTGATTTTTATGTGATAGAGAATGGCCCAATAATCATCATGCAAATTAAACAATGCCCACCAATGAATTTGGGCCATGCATGCATGGGGACACTTTACGTACCCTCAAAATTAATTACTTGTCAAAACCCATCAAAATTCTGCCACGAAAGCCCACAATTTAAGGTTCCAGAAAATTTTAGAATTTATTTTTTTTTAAAAAAAAATTAATTATTTAATATATATGTTTCATGTCAATATAGGTATGTAATTTAATTTTGTGAGTAGTTACTAGTACATTTTATATTTTTAGATTTTTTGATCGGTATTTTATAGACTCTTGAATCCATATATTTGAGAAAATAATCACAGTGTCATGTGCTCTTTATTTTTATTTATGTTATATTATTTTTTCTCTGTCCTATATATTACGTCAGGTTTTGATTTTTGTCCGTTTCACATCTTATATTATTAATACTTTTTTTTAAAAAATATTATATACTTGAAATTAAATTTTAAATTTTATAATATATAATTTTTAAAATTTTAATTAGACCAATTAATTATTTTAATTTTAATTTATAATAATTTATATTCGTCCTAATTTTTATGTATGTAGAGACTTTGATGTTCTATTTATGACAAAAAGAGTAATATAAATTATGGAGCATATTATATAATTTTATTTTTTTTTGTTAGGTGAACTTATGTACATGATACAATAAAAATTTTTTTAACAGTCCGTAGTAGATAAGAGTATATTATTATAATTATAAATAAAAATGTTGTCTGAAATTGAAGAAGATTCTACTGTTGCATGCATGGTCTGATTCTGCTGCATATGTGACGTGGCGGGATAAGCCTTGCGATGTTCACACGCGTCGCTTTCTCAATGGCTGTAAATAGAGGTCCGGGAGCCCACCAGATTGTCGTTCTTGTTCCTGTGCGGACAGGTGCACAGTAATTAAATAGCTACTGCTGAGTCAGCCTCCAACAAACCTCTCTGCAGATTTTCATCAAAAAAGATTAAAAAAATTTGAACTTTAAAAACAGCCGTCACTCTCTTCTTCTCTCATCTTCAACAGTCTCCTATTTATATACGTATCTCCCAAAACACACAAACACAAAATTACAATTTACACACACAAATACATACAGAGAACTATATATATATATATATATACACAATACAAGATCAGCAAGGTGTGGCATTGTTGATTGTATAGAAAATTAAGAAGAAATGGGCGAAGTAAGTGGTGTATGGTCTTCAATTAATTCCGATTTCCGTACATTCTTGTTAATCAATCATTAATGGTAGATATGATGTTTTGGTGAAGGAGAAGAAGGAGGAATTAGGCAACAAGGAGGAAGAAGGAGAGAAGAAGAAGAAGGAAGAAGAAGAAGAAGAAAAAAAGGAAGAGGAAATAGTGCTTAGGGTAGAGATGCACTGTGAGGCTTGCGCCAGAAAAGTTATCAGAGCTCTCAAAGGATTCCAAGGTCATCTTCACTTCTGATTTCTGACTCAATTAAACGACGTCGGATTGACGATGTATGAATTAATTAATGAATTTGCAGGAGTGGAGGAGGTTATGGCGGATTACAGGTCGAGCAGAGTGGTGGTGAAAGCTGTGAAGAACAGTACTGACCCTATAAAGCTGTGCCAAAGAATCCACAAGAAAACTGGGAGGAAAGTTGGGATTATATCTCCATTACCCACCCCACCCTCAACTGATCAAGAAAACCCCAAACCAGAGGAAGAAGAACCCAAACAAGAGGTACGTACTCTTATCACACCATGGACGATAACGATAATGATGATGATGATGATGAATCTTCACTTTTGATTAATTTCAAATTTTAATTTTCATCATCATCGTCTCAAGATGTGTTTTTTTTTTTTTTTTGTTCAGCAGCAATAGCAATTGATCATTCATGTCAATAGTCGTTTGTTCTTGTCATTATTATCATCCATGGACCACATATGAATCGATTGAATTCATGTTGTTATTGAATCCCCACGGCTCGAACCCCTTATTTTTCTTTTTAGAGAAATGATAATTGTGCGTATCTAAAATAGTTGCAGAAGCCAGCAATGGTGGTTGGTACACTTTTAATTATTTCGTAATCATGTTTATAACATCTTCTGCATAGACACGTGTTGTTCCCAGAGGTAATTAATTAATTAATTTGGTGTTCTTCTTCCAACCCCCATCGACAAATTTTTCTTCCTCATTATTATTACCAAAAGAGAGGTTGGAGTAGTCTTGGGTGATGGGTAGTGGTTCTGATTAATTTCTGAAAGCCACAGAACAGCAACAAACAGAAAGCAGCAGCAGAAAATGGGCCTGGGCACACTGCACGATGCAAGAAATGAGGATGACTCTCAGTCTCAAATCTGGACGACGATGATGATGAATCTTTGACCCCACTGTTCCATACCTGTCTTTTACCAAAATTAAACGATTCAAAAAAATAAAAAAAAGTAAAAATGGGGTTTTGTGCTGGATTTTAATCTTCTTCTTCTTCTTCTTGTTATTCTTACAATGCAGCCTCCGGCACCGATCACAGTTGTGCTCAAAGTCCAGATGCATTGTGAAGCATGTGCTCAGGCGTTGCAGAAGAAGATTGGAAAGATCAAAGGTTTTATTTTAAAAAAAAAAGATCATCTGATTATGATTCCAGAAGAATTAATTAATTAAAAGTATGTTTATTGCAGGTGTGGAATCGGTTGCGACGAACATAGCAAGCAATGAGGTAACAGTGAAGGGGGTAATCGATCCAGAAAATCTTGTGAATGATGTGTACAAGAGGACTCACAAGCACGCATCGATCGTGAAGAACGAGGAGAAGAAGGAGGAGGAGAAGAAGAAGAAAGAAGAAGAGGAAGAGGAAGAGCAGAAGAAGAAAGAGGAAGAAGAAAAGAAGCAGCAGAAGAAGAAGGATGAAGAAGAAGATGCAAAATTGGAGGTCAAGAAAATGGAGTTTTGGGGTCCAAAGCAGTACATGGAGTATGCCTACGCCCCTCAATTGTTCAGCGACGAAAACCCCAACGCCTGCTCCGTCATGTGAAAATTAATTAATTAAATTAATCTAAAGATCGATCCATCTCCATCTCCATTAGTGTTTCTGCAATTTTCTCCAGACTTTGTTTCTTGTGTGTGTGTTCAATAATTAACAGTCGACTTTTTGATCTCAAATTTCAAAGAATCTGAGCCATATTCGTAAATGTTGACAAGATCATGAAAATAAAGATTCTCTTCCAAACTTTTGAATCCAAAAATTAAATAGCCCCTCCACTCTCTATCTCGTGCAGCTCTGTCTGCTTCTCCCACTTCGTCGATGATCCATTGATGAAATGGGTTGTGGACCACTCCCACTTCACCTTCCATTTCTTACCTCAATTATTTCATATATCTATATCTTCAAAATCCAATTCCAATGGTGCAGTGAAAACGATGGTTGAAACAATTGCCATATGCCCTGTTTTCCTTGCCAATCATCCAATGAATTCTTACGTGATAATCCATTGGATTCTTCCATTTGGGTTTGCATTTTTCTTTCTTCTTCTCCACCATATTTGTATTTCTTTCTTTCTCAATGTTGTATGAATTATTTATGGTATCAGACTAGAGTTTAATTTTTTTTTTCCTTTTTTTTATTTTCTTATTTATTCTTTACATCTCCCCATTATAAATTCTAGACATATTTATCCAATATAATCTAAAATTTTCAATATATGTTAACGATTCTTAATGTCATTATCTATGTGTTTACAAAATTGTAGATCATTATAATATTCTATAGTAAAATAACAGTAATAATGGAGATTAATACAGCAAGATTGTTAAAACATAACTTTACTGTTATTTGTCTTTGAGTGGTAAAATAAGAATTCATAATAATATTACCTTTTATCTAGAAATATAACTTCAAACTTTCCTTAATAAGGCTAAAAATATAATAAAAAATAAATAATGATAATAATAATAATAATTTAATATGACTATAATATTATAATTATATAATGTATGTACACGTTGAACCCACACAATCTTTAACATAGATCACGCCTAAAATATATAAACGATTAATATATCCTAGAATTAAAATAATCAATAAGAGAATTACCAACTATAAGTCTATAACTCCATTATATTGCAATTATGATTAAATCTGAGTTATATGTACAAAATATGGATGTCCTAACTAATCAATCATCTTTTCATTCACTATATATATATATATATCTATATAACACATCTATATATTGTGTATACATTGTACCTACAAACAAATACTTAACTAGCAATTAAATAACAAAAATTCAATATGAAGGTCAATCGCGGTTTCATTACTTTGGCTGTTATTTGTTTTGTTCTAACGACGGCGGCGGCCGATGCGACGATGGAGACGAGGAGGGAATTGCAGGGGTCGAGTCCGCTGAACTGCACCGGAAAGTGCAACGGGTGCACGCCGTGCACCCGTGTCAGGAAGGAGGTTGCGCCGGGGACTTATATTTGGAAGTGTTTTTGCGGGACTTCTTTTGAGAATTTTTAATTGTTTGTATTTTATTAGCTGAATACTGTCCGATCAAGATGTATTAATTTTATAATTTCAAATTATTTATATACATATCAGTTCATTTTGAAAATTTTTGGTATAAATTGTGGAGGAGATGAGAAGCTACCAAGGAGTTGAGAAGACGAAGCCCCTGAAGATAATCAAGAATGCTAGACGAGGATCAAAGGCCAAAAGACAATGCATTGAACAATCTTAATCTTTTAACCTGCTAGATAACTTCTCGACAGCAATTATTTAGCAAATATTAAAGCTTGAAATTTAGGAAAAGTCATCGTCACCACCATCATAGTCTGTTACAATTAAAACTGAAATTGAAACTAATACCAAACGAGAAATTTAAAATACCATACTGATACCAGATGACATTGCCCCTCCGCCGCTCACATTTTCTCATTGTGCGGCGGGAATGGCTCAATGGACGACGGCCCGGCAGCAGTAGGATCCTTGAACAGATTCATGGGCGGCAGCGGGGCATAGAACCCAGAGTGGTGGTGCAGCGGCGGCGGCGCCGCCACCATGTGATGGAATGCATTGGCCGGCGGGAAGGCCGAGAAGGCCTGATCAGAGGCAGCAGTGGCGGCGACCCGCTTGAGGAGTGGGTCCCCCCGGAGCAAGCCGCGATCGCCGCCGTCGAACTCACGGTAGCGGTGGAGGTAGTGAGTGAGGGGCTCAATGTAGTCGTCGAAGCCGAGCTTGCTCATGGCCCAAAGGACGTCCTCGGCGGTGACGGTCTTGCGCTGCTCGCGCTGGCACCGGTCGTTGGCTTCGCCGGTGACGAAGCTGATGAACTCCGACACGCACTCTTGCATGGTCTCTTTGGCGTCGTCGGAGATTTTGGCGTGCGACGGGAGAATCTTCCGCATGATCCTGATGACATTCGCGATCGGCATGAAACGGTCTTGCTCCCTGACCACACACTCCTTCTTGTTGCCGCCGGGGGGCGGGTTGCCGCCGGGCAATGGGTTCACTTGAGGAGGTAAGTCCATGTTGAAGTCTGCTGCCATGTCTGTTCATACGTCTCACTCCAAATTTTTAATTAATATTAAATAAATAAATCTCATATAAAATAAATTAATATATTTATATATATATATATATATAGCTGGTCTGAGGCTTAAAAACCAATGAATTTCATTGGGACTGGATTGAGGTCCCAATCCTAGAAGTAAAATTAAGATGGGAACAAAGAATAGGACAGAACTATTTGTGAAAACTGAAAAGGGCACAGATGAAGAAATTTGTTAGGCCAACTGCATCGGTGAGTTTAATTCTCTCTCATTCATTTAACAATTCTGTCAGTAAAAAAATATATATAATTTTTTTTCAAAAAACCTCCTATATTCAATATATTATATATTTTTATAATCTTTTTTTCATCTCATCATCGTACTTCCAATTAAATATCTAAAAAATTTATGGAAATCCAACAAAAAAAAATATATGGATTATTAAAACAAACTATTAAAACACTGGAAGCAAAGTATTGTGTTTCCCGAACATGAATGCCAGCTGAAAATATTAAAAATCAAGCCAATATCTTCGCTGCAGAACCACCACCAACTTTAACCCCCACAAATCAAGAACAAAAAAAGAAGTTAATCTTTTCACTCTATATATTGTTTTTTCTAAAATCATAGTTAGAGGTAAAGCTAAAAAGAATAAATTTATAATGGTTCTTTACATATTCATTTATTTATTTATCTATAAGGATAATTTCAAATAGAAAGTGCAGAAAGAGGGAGGGAGAATTAAAAATGCTTCAGAATGGGAAAAATTTAATAATGGATGCTATTGCAATGAGCTAATTAGCAGACAAGTCAAGTATGGTGTGGAATCATAAGCTGCATGTTGAGACACCTGTTTTCTTACTTCTTCCATTATCTTCGTCTTTATTCACTAACACAACTACTATTACATGCACCCACACTGGTTTTGCTTTGCCTTTCTTCTCTTTTCTTGGATCTTAGTAAATTTCTCACTTCTATTTCTGTGTGTCCTAATTTTGTGAGACAGTACAGGATCTTACATACCTAACTAGATATAATATGTATATGTATGTATATGTGTATATGCATGTAAGCTCATCAATTTTAGGGTTTGTTTATTTGCCATTTAATTTGCAGATCGAAAAGGATTTTTGGCAAATGACATCAACACAGACAAGATTAGTGATATCTAGCAAGCAACAAAAATTAAGTCCTATAATGAAAATATGTGGGTGCATGTATGTAGAATGGTTAATGGTTACCAGCAGGAGCAGCGGCGTTGATGCCATAGCCATGGAAGTCTGCAGCATTGCTCCCTCCAAACTCCATTTCTGAAGAAGAAGAAGATGAAGAAGAAGAAGAATAATAATAACGAAAGAAATTAGGGTGAGCCAGTTTGTTGTTTGGATGCGAAACAGAAAGGTAGCGAGTAACGAGGGCAAGGGTCAGCATTTATAGAATCACAACTAAAATTAAAACAAACAAGACGTTGGGTTGGGAGTAGTTACTCCTCACTGATTTAATAACAATAAAACATGAAAAATAAAAATATATATACAATATATTATTTAAAAATAATAAAATTAAAAGCTAAAATAATTTAAATACTAAAAGCAAAACTGATTTTTCTTTTAAAATGTTGGTAATAATGTATCGGGAACTGCGTAAAATTCAGATCCTCTCTTTCTTGTAATAAAAATAAAAGATTATATGTGATGTCTTGTCGGGCCTAATGTGATTTTTCTGTCGAGCTTGATTTGCAGGATATTAGTTTCGGCCGAGAGTTTACCCCGTGTGCACTTTCGGGTAACGGCTACGGATTTTCACGTCATAAAAAATAAAAATAAAAGAATATATGTGTTTCTATAATTAATTAATCAATTACTCATGCTGCATGCCATTGATATAGTCCTATTAGAATTTCAATACTTTTTTTTTTCTTTTCTTTTTTTTAACTCTGAAAAAAAAAAATCAAAGAAAATGTCACATAAAATATCAAAATTTCACCAAATACATGTTAAAATGTTTATATATATAGCTCATATATAGATATATTTTTTTATACGTTTAATAATTTATGAATGCAAATTGAATAACTATTAAATGTCATAAATTGAATAGATATCTTGCATGAAAATAAAATTACTCACTTCAAAAGTAGGATATAGAAATTTGTTCATTTAATTATTTTCGGACAAAGTTTGATCCAAATGATATATTGTCGGTATCAAGTATCAATATATATATATATATATATACATCGTCTCCAAAATGTTATTCAAGTGGAAGTAAAATCTTTAGTTCATTCATCTTTTTCAACATTTTGTCCAAAATAGAAAAATTAATACGAAAATCGACAACGATAATATAAATATGTGTAAAATATTTTGTCTATCGTATTAATACCAACGAAATATTTTGCATATATACATGCAATAATAGTAATAATAATAATATTTGACAAACACAAAATACATAAAAAGGAATAATTAATTAACTATCTAGATAAATTTTATAAAAATATTTGTGTTTTTATAATTAAATAATTAATTACTTAATCAAATACATATTTTGCTAGAGTTTCAATATAGTTAAATTTGACTGAAAAGACAGAAAAAATATATGTATGTAATATAATCTTTTAAAAATATTTATAACCATTTATTTTGTGTATCTTTTAAAATATACATTTAAGATAAAATGTTTCAAAAGTAAATAAGATTACAATAATATTTGCTTGCTAGGGAGTTTTTAAATTGCAATTGAACCCCCAAATATTAAAAATAATTCATTGAAGCCATGTTTTTGTCCTTAAAATAAAAAATGTGAATCACAAACCTGGTTCGATATTTACTATTTAAAATAAAATATTATATAATAATTATAAGTAATATGTAGTACTTTTTTTATTTTTAAAAAATATTATCATATGCCGTGACATGAATTTTAGACTAGTTAAAAAAAGTGCTAAAATTTTGTTAAATAGTTAAAAGACTAATTATATATTTACATTAATCATATTATTCAATTATATTAATTGAAAGTAATTAATTTTTAACAATTCAGCCTGTACTGAATTATATATTACTACCATTTTTTAAAAATTTAAAGAAAATATTTATACTTTTATAATTAATTAGTTAAATGTACCGACAATAGGTGATATAATTTTTTTTAAATTTCAATACAATTTTATTTTATTGTAAGAACAAAACAAAAACAAGAAAGAGAAAATATCACACTAAAAAACAATTTCATTCCGACACATCTATTAAAATGTTATACATATATACTTTTATGCATACACTATTTTTTTTTTATATTTTGTTTTCTAAGATATTAGTAATTTATGAATGAAATTTGAATTATTATTAAAGTATAATAATATATTATCATTCAAAATTATGGATAAAGTTTTTGATTAAAAAATTAAAAAAATATATATATCTATAAATTTTATAATTAATTAATTAACTGTACTATCTGTTTGCAGGTGATACAGTTTTTTTTTTTAAGTTTCAATACAATAATTTTCACTGTAAACAAAAAATTAATTAAGAGAAAATTATCACACTACATATCATTTTTCTTTCCGACACATCTGTTAAAATATTATACATATATTACTTTTATGCACATATTATTTTTTAATATATTTTTAGTAATTTTTGAATGAAAAATTAATAACTATCCAAATATAATAATATATATCATTAAAATATGGATAAATTTTTCTTAGTAGGAATTATGTAAATATTAATAATTAAAAAAAAAAAAAAAAAACAGGTGCCTTGTAAAAATATATTTTGAATGTTTTTTAGTTGAATTAATATATTTGTAAAAATAAAAGAATAAATATACTTTTACATACATAAATAATATGAACTATATATTTGAAAGATTAAAAAATTTAAAAATATCTACAATTTTCGTAATTAATTAACTATGCTGTATATTTGTAGGTGTTAAAATTTTTTTAAGTTTCAATACAATTTTTTTTACTATAAAGAGAAAATAAAATAAGAGATAATATCACACTACATATATCAGTTTTTCATTCTCTGACACATCTATTAAAATATTACACTATATTACTTTTATGTATATATTATTATTTTTTTTAAAACATGTTTTTAGTAATTTATGAATGAAAAATGAATAACTATCGAATTATATTAGTATATTATTGAAAAATATGGATAAATTTTTCTTAGTGAGAATTCTGTAAGGGTTAAAAAAAACAAAGCATGTATCTTGTTGTGAGTATTAAATATTGGATGTGTTTGATTTATTTTGTATTTAAATATTAATTGAATTGATATATTTGTAAAATGAAAGAATTAATAAAATGTGAATTATATATTAAAAAGTTTAAAAAATTAAAAAATATTAATTAACTATACTATTTGTTTGCTGGTGTCATAGTTTTTTTTTTTATAATTTCAATGCAATATTTTTATACTGTAAATAAAATAATAATAATAATAATAATATCATACCATATATCACTTTTTCATTCTGTCACATATATTAAAATATTATATATATATATTACTTTTATAAATATTCTATTTTTTTAATATGTTTTTAGTATTCATGAGAATTATGTAAAAGTTAAAAAAACAAAACATTACTCACTTGTTAATATTAAAATTTGGATGTATTTGGTTTAAGTTGTGTTTAAATATTAGTTGAATTAATATATTTGTAAGATGAAAAAATAAAAATAAAAGAAAATATCACATTACATATTTTTTTTTTTTTATTTTGACACATCTATTAAAATTCTACATATATATTAGTTCTATGTCTAAATTATTATTTTTTAAAAATATGTTTAGTAATATATGAATGAAAAGTGAATAATTATTAGAATATAATAATATATAATTAAAAAATATAGATAATTTTTTTTTTTAATGATAATTGTATAAAGGTTAAAAAAAAAAAAAAAAAAAAAACAGAGGATCTCTCTTATTGTGAGTATTGAAATTTGATGTGTTTGATTTATTTTGTTT